ATCCTGAGAACAGGGGCATGAAGTGGACAGGTGCAGCCTAAACACCAAGATGCAACTCCTGGACACTGGCAGCCTGGCCTTGATCTCCTGAGACCCAGAGGAGAGGAGTTGGGAGGAGAGGGTTTAAGACCAAGGGAGCATCTACAAGGTGTTCAACAGAGTGAACAAGGCGCATCTTTAGGGACGAAAGACTTGACTAGAGGGTAGTACATGGGAGAGAGCAGATTTGGCAACAAATGAATTCTGGGGCCGGTCTGCAGGGTCCTGTAAACCACCTTAAGATTTAAGTTTTGGTGCTCGCTTTGGCAGCACATATCATAAAATTGCAAGATTTATAAGTGGAGAGGGAAAACATTAGTTCTTTTTTTAAAAAAATAAAAATTATACTTATGGCCCAGCTATGTAACTCAGCGGTTGAGTGTTGACCTATGAACCAGGAGGTCACAGTTCCATTCATGGTCAGGGAACATGCCCGGGCTGTAGAATTGATCCCCAGTAGGAGGTGTGCAGGAGGCAGCTGATCAATGACTTTCTCTCATCATTGATGTTTCTCTTGCTCCCTTGTCCTCTGAAATCAACAAAAATGTATTTCAAAAATATCAAAATAAGACTATACTGTGACAAGTGGAAATTACATGACATTCAAATGTCAGTGCTTATAATAAGTAAAGTTTTATTGACATGCAGTCAGGCACTGGTGTGGCTCAGTTGGTTGGGTGTCGTCCTGTGCACCGAAATGTTGCCAGTTTGGTTCCCAGTCAGGGTACATGCCCAGGATGCAGGGCATGCAGGAGGCAGCTGACTGATGTTTCGCTCACCCTTTCCCATCCTCTTTCTCTAAAAATCAATTAAAAAGGGGTGGGCTGGAGGAGGTTAATGGGGGGAGGGAGGGGACATATGCAATACTTTCAATAAAAGAATTATTTAAAAATAATTTTAAAATCAATTGCTTACATGGTGTCTGTGACTCCTTTCTCACGGACAGAATTGAGTGGCTGCAAGTCTCTAATGTTTACTATCTGATCCTTTACAGAGAAAGTCCGCAATCTGTAAGTTACTACATTACAGCGTATATACCCCATCATTCCAATAAACACTTGCAAGGATTATTTGGTTATAAAAGACTTGTATGTAAACTAGGAATAGGAAAATGCTGAAAGAGGATAAATGTGTTCTTGTGGCATTTGGGCTTTTCAGTGCATGAAGACAACCTGGCAATTCCTCTTGGGTGTGCATCAATAGGCAGCTTCCAAACCCAGAAGGAATGACAATGTCTGTTTCTCTGTCTGACTTCTGCAAGTGTCTCTGCTAAAAGGAGAAAAGGAAATCAACAGACCAAACACTATCATTGGAAAATACAGCTAGGAACCAGACGGCCTTATAGTTAGTGTTCCCTAAGGATGTCAACATCTCGCCTTCTCATAAGTACCCACACTTATGGAATAAAAAAAAAAATAACTGAAACAAATGGTCTGACAAGTGTGAGTGTGCCATGGGGGCCAAGGGGCCAGTTTTTGAATTTGGGACCTACTAGAGAAATCTGACATACACTACTGTGATACTCACAGGTGGAGACTTCCATAGAGCGGAGGGCCAGACAGGTTAACAGACACTTGCTCTCACTGATGGAGTCTTTTGATAACGTTATAAGAATTACTTGCAAGCTTAGATGTTTTAATAAGTGGGCTACTGGGGCTGTGAATCTGGGGGTCAAGTTTTTTGGAGCAAGGCTACCTGTGTGGAGAATTCTCATACTATAACATAAATAAATTTAGCCTCTTGACAAGTGATATTTCTCAAAAAGTATCTACTTCCATCAACTTCCTAAAAACACATGGGATCATTAATAATTAAAGGATGGGCCCTAGCTGGTTTTACTCAGTGGATAGAACATCAGTCTGTGGACTGAAGGGCCCTGGGTTCTATTTCAGTCAAGAGTATATGCCTGGGTTGTGGGCTTAATACCCAATAGAGCGTGTGCAGGAGATAGCCAATCAATGATTCTCTCTCATCATGGATATTTCCAGCTCTTTCTCCCTTCCTCTCTGAAATCAATAAAAATAAATATATATTTTAAAAAATTTAAAGGATGAGAACCAACCAATGTATGCATTAATAAGTGGAACAAAAATCCATGTTTCTATCTTCCTATTATAAAATCAACCACTAAAAAAATGAAAGAATGATGCCAAATAAATGTTATTGAAAACTAGGTCACATACTCATTTTGAAGAGTTGTGCATATTTTTATATTGACTATTATTAGGTCAAATCAAACAAAAGGGCATCAAAGCTAACACCAGGTCCATTCTGAGGGCCTATTTAAGGAAGATTTATGCTCCACCCAGAGTCTGAGCCCTTACCCGCTTCCCCCCTGCTATTCATTGTTCAGTTGCCTTCCCTGAGGTCAGAAAACTGGCCCATCAGTCCACTGGCCATTTGGTGCATGCCCCTGACAGGTGATGCACACACTTGCACAGAGAAACCCACAGCCCTCCTGCTGTTCCTTCAGAGGCCATGTCAGAATGGTGATGTGCTCCCCAAGCCCCTGACAGCAGAACCTACTCTCACTGCAGCATGTCTAAGCCCCACAATGTGGGCTATTGATGTTTTTGGTCAAATGTGAAAGAGAAAGCTATATGAATGGAAAGTAACAGCAGACATTTGATGTGCTCAGTAAGGCTAAGCTATTCCATTATGCCACAGGACTGCAAACCTTCAAAGCGACGTTTCTTCACATGACTGCCTTGCTATTCATGAAAATGTTATGGCAAACAGCCTCAGAATTGTCCATTTGAAAGCTAATGTAACTGGTGCAAAGTGAAAGATCTCCTATCTTCAGGTTTCCATTTCCTTAGTACTCCTACAGCTTGCATACTCAGAGTAAATGTTAAAGCTGGAAGAATCCTATTACTGTATTTATTCACGCAACTCCCTGCATTACCGAGTCTCTAAAGTGGATGTGAAATGAAAAATATCTGCATGAGCCTGTAGGTTAAAGGGGAGACACCGGTGAGCATCCCTCTGCAAACCTGCCCTGTCTGGCCTAACTGAAGCAGAGGAGGCTGCTAGGCTGAGCTGGGGAGACCTGTCAGGAGCTGCAGGGGAGACCTAGGGCACTGCCTGCCTATTTTCTGTGAATTGGACATTTAAACTTTCAAATAAAAAGACTAAGAGAGAAAAATCTAAATAAGTAATACAACACTTTATACCTCTTGGCAAACTACATTTTGCTCCTGCTTCTCACAAATGCAACAATTTAAAAGGAATGAATATTCATAGTTTAGTCTGAACAGGGAAGAACTTGGAAGGGAAAAATTAACTGTCTTTGGAAGCTATGTAACTAACAAATTTATTTGGTAAATGGACTTCTCTCAGAAAATAATGCAAATGAGGAGTTGCAGATTTTACTTAATTTTACTTTTCCTCAAGTTGGGAATAAAATGGGGGAGGGAGACAGAGTATAATAACCTTATTATTTACAAGGTTTCAGCCAGTAAATTATGCTGTTAGTAGCTGCTCAAGAAGTGTGTCCTTCAGAGGGAAGGCAGGAGAGGGTGAGTGGGAAGAGATGAATGAACTTGTGTGCATATATGCATAACTTGTGGACACAAAGGGGTGGTGAGGGCCTAGGAAAGGTTAATAAGAGAAAAAGGAGGACCCAGACCTATGTGATACTTTCAATAATAAAGATTAAAAAAAAAGAGAGAAGTGTGATCTATTAAGAAAACATTTCTCAGAAGAGCAAAGGGTGAAAGTTCATGATACAGAAGAAAATAAACATGTGAATCATAGTAGAAACGACGTTAGTGAAGTATGTGCAGAGGAAAACAACAACCTAGTCTTTGATTTCCTATCATATATACAAACCATACTTGTCTTCTTTCCTAATGAGTATTATATTTTTGTATAAAAATAACTCTCAAGGTAGGAAGATAGAAAGCACAGGATTTCACTTATGTCTCTACAGGAATATTTACTTTGTAAGACACAAAAACCCAGGATCACAGTACACAGTGGTTATTTATTTAAATACTTGAAAAGGTCAATGATGGAAAAAATAGGTTTATCATGAGAGTTTATATTCATTAGACTTATTTTACCATTTAAAAAAAGTGCTGCTTCTAGGTTATCCCGGCCAGACATAGAACACTTCATGATACATGCAGCTGCTGAAATCACTAGGACAGACACAGCCCTTGGAGAATGATTTACACTTTGGGAGGAAATTCAATTGTTGTAGTGGTGCCGGTTTATTTTAACGAAAAACATTGATAATATACAAATCTTTTTTCTCATTTGATTGAAAGGGCTATAAAATTCAACATCCTGACAAAGGAGGCAACATACTCCTGTAGGTAACACCTCTGATTGCCTTTAGCTCTTCCCTCCTTAAAGGAGAGCCTCACACTCAGCTGCACAGTTGTCTAGCTGGCACGGCAGCTTCAAGGCTGGCCTACCCCAGTGACGGGAAGAAGGTTGGTGCTGGTAAGCTGACAATGACTTGTTTGCTTTTAGAAACGAAGAGAAAGTGGTCAATTGTGCCTCGGGTACCTGAAGGACCCAAAGATCATTCTGAGTAAATGTGAAATAAATAAGTGATCCATGAGTAAATACAACCTCTGGCTGACGTAAGCCTAGGAGAGTGAGCCAACTGAGCACTAACAATACCATGTAGAAACATCTAGAAATATCATTTCTAGAACTCAGTTTGGGAGACCATATCTTGCCTGAATATGTACATTATTTACAAAACATTCCCTTTTGTGGCCTCTGGAATTTAGCCACTTTAGTCTGGCTGTTAAGCTGTTTCTTTCCATATGCTAGCCAATACTGCAGTTACAACTATCGTTAAAATACTCTTATGCACGACTTACAAATAATTAATAAAGTAACTCTGCATGTACAAATATGCCAATATTTCTAGCAGAATTTAAAGCATTCAGAATGTACATAAAAGTATTTGTTTTTGGTAGGGGCCAGTATTTTTTTGTTTTAAATCATCGCTGTTTCAATAATGCTTTGTACATGGCAAAGCCCAAAACGGCAAAAACAGTAGCACCAAAACTTGCTCGAAGCCAAAACGTGGAGCTCTTGAGGTCAGCTTGTGTCACGTGCCTGTAGTCAGAAAATATAATTAATGTTTAAAATATGACTAATATGAAAACACCAGTATTAACAGTCTACTTTTAGGGAAGTATTAGCACACTTGTCAGGCTAATTGCATACAGTAATGTTTAACCAAAAACATTTATCAGTGTAGCCACATGTACAATGCTTAGATGATCATTATCTTACCATGTGGACATCAATAAAAATAACTGTCTTTACAATGAACTACGATTTGAGAGTAAACAACATTTAAATTTTTATACATTTTTTTTCACATGAGAAATGGAGAACTTAGACAAATCATGAACCACTTTTTAATACCACCATGGTCCTTCAAAATGAAAGGGAAGACTGGGATCTCACAATTTTGAGAGTTAATTTCAAGAAACTTAATGTGCAATCTTGAGTCCCCAGGAATTGAAAGCTATCTTGTAAGCAGTTAAGCGACAAGTGACAATACTTTTCTAAGAGCAATGCTTTAAGTCAACTTTGGAAATATTGAGCCCGATAAAAATTTACCCAAAAAATAGCAAAGGGGGCAGGGAAGATTTACCAGTTTGCATTAATTTGGTTAATGCTGATTAAAGAAAGGAAAACAAACAAACAAACAAACAAACCTTGGTATTAGTTAGACAGGCAGTGACAATGGTATCAACTAAAGGACATAGTGTAACATGATGGAATGAGAAGTAAATGATGTAAAAAAAAAAAAAAAAAAGCCATATTATGCGTGACAAGAACAGGGGCAGCCTGTACCACAAACTGAGTTTGTGAGCATGCTCAGTTAATAACACTGCTAAGCACCCTCAAGAGTCTCAAGTATGACAGCTTACCATGAAGAGGATAAAGCTTTAAAGCAAAGGTTGAATCATTTTATTCAAGCATCTCTGAAGTTTTAGTTAAGTGATCACAATTGAGGTGATGTAGAATTAAGAGCTTAGAGAGACTGTCTAGTGCAGGTTATTTTACAACTAAGTTAAACATACAGATTTGAAGCAAAAATCTTACATCATTAAAAGACCAAGACACTGACTGACACATGCAAAAGAGTTAAGAGCCAAGAATAGAAATTGTATAAAACTACTGTGCCTCAGTAATAGTCAGAGTGATCAGATTAGTTATCACAAAGTGCAATCTGTGCATTCCTGGAAACAAGACTAGACTACGATCCAGAGTGCTCCATGCTTGGCACCCTGGCAAAACAACACTCCGCACTCTGGTTTCTTATCCTCCCCAGTTTCTATTAAAAAAAAAAATCACTCCTCACATAATTATTATTTTACAAAGCAACGTGATAACACAGATTCATTCCACCTTTTGAATTAGTCCTTTCAACAGGCAGTGTTTTATTTACTGATTTGTTTGTTTAAAATTAGGGAGGAGACTACTTAGGTTTGAGTTTTTCCAGCTGGAAAAACCCCAACAAGGCCAACAGCCCACTGCTTGTGGGAAATGTTACCTGGCTTCAAGAAAAAGTGGACCATGAGATGACTCCATGAAGATGGAATCTTCAACAGAGCTGACGGCGTGCACCTGGTGAGTAATACTGCCTTCGTCGTCTGCTAACAGCATGGCACCCCACTCAGCTACCCGGGCTCTTAACCTTTTATACACATGCACACAGTTTGCAGTTCACAGCAGAGCTCACAAAAGGGGACTGAAAATAACGTCTCTCAATTAAACAGCCCACACAGAAATTAAGTTGCCGCCCTATATGATAAATCTTATGCTTTCTATATTTAAAGTAAATGTATTCTATAGCAAATTGCAAAACTTAAAAAAAATCTATATGTACTCTTTAAAACATTCGCATAATAGGCAAGGAAACCTACGGCTATAATATACATTCTTTTCATATCCCTCAGAGGCTGGTCTTAGTATATCCAAAATACTAAGGGAAGCCCTTGAAACCAATACCCTAAGCCAGTGGTCACCAACTAGTGGTCCGTGAGGTCCAAAGGTTGGCAACCGCTGCCCTCAGCAGTACCTGACAGCATGTGGTGACCATAAGTATTCATTTAAAATGAGGCTAACAATTATTAATCAGAAGGTTTATAGATGTTTCTAATTTCAGACTACCAAAACCTACAAAATACATCTGTGAAAAATTGAGTCCAACATCCCAAATTCATAGACTGTTATGATCTTATGATGAGGGTTTCAAAGCTTACAATTCCAAGTCAATAGAGATGTATAGAATTTAAAGTGAGAACACAGGTTAAACGTGCACTAGAGATTTTGCTTTGGTATCTGTGTGATTTTTGTGCATTTTCACTGACGGAGGATTTTTCTAAAAAATTTTAAATTTATTTTTTAATTTAGGGAGAGAAGGGGATTAGGATTAAAACTACCTACAATCACATTAAAATCAGTCAAAATAATTTCTCATAAATATTCAAGTATGGAAGGTTATGCACACAGCTCCTTTTATTGTATTTTAAGAAGGTAAAACCATTAAAAGAATAATGTATTCTGACTGACTTTATTGCTTGGTTTTCTTTTGCATTTTCAGATAGTAATTATTTTCCCCAAGCTCTAGTATAACCATCAATAGGCAAAACAGTTCATATTTATATACAAACAACATAGATTCATGCTCAAGATATAGCTAGTTAAAAACTGATGGCAACTATTAACTCCAAATATATTTTAATGATTCCATTAATGTTACAGTAGTTGTTTCAGGCACTTTTAGTCATGGAAAACTACACTTCTAGACACAGAAAGCTACTGGGAGAACTATTTCATGCCTTTGCCATGTGCATTTAAAAGCAGCACCAACTAGGCTCTATTTACAGAACAGAAAGTATTTCTAATGGATGGCAAATTTGTTGTTGCTTAGGTAACTAAAACATCTGGATGAAGAATAGTGAATGCCATCTTGCGCTGGCTAGCATGCTAAGTGGTTAGTGTCATCTTGTGAACCAAAGGGTCTCAGGCTAGATCCCTGGTCGAGGTGTGTACGTGAAGCAATCGATGGATGATTTTTCTCTCACATTGATGATTCTCATTCTCTCTCTCTCTCTCTCTCTCTCTCTCTCTCGCTCTCGCTCTCGCTCTCGCTCTCTCTCACATCAATGAAAAATATATCCTTAGGTGAGGATTAACATATGAAAAAACAAACAAAAAAAGAAGAGTGCCATCTTAATTGTATTTCTAAGTATTAAGAACTGAGTCATGCTTCTCATTTTAGGTCTCAAGTAGAAGCAGAATAAGTTTCATAAAGCTGTCTCCCAATTCATTTCTAAATTCAAGCAAAAATAATTCTTTCATAATTCCAAAGTATAATTCTTTCAAAATGACTCACATAAAATATCATCTTAGAAATATAACATATAGTATCTTATTGCATATTTTTTCTTTCTTCTTAAAGTATTTTAGTATTAAAAAGGCAATATATGTGCAAAATAAAGTAGGGGGGAAATCACCAACAGTCCTATCACCTAAGGCAACTAATTAAAATTTGGAGCATTTCTTTTTAGACTTTTTCTATGTATTTATTTAAAAAAATATTTTTATTGACTTCAGAGAGGAAGGGAGAGGGAGAGAGAGAAACAACGATGAAAGAGAATCATTGATAAGCTGCCTCCTGCACACCCCATACTGGGAAATCGAGCTTGCAACCTGGCATATGCTCTGTCCGGGAATCGAACTGTGACCTCCTGGTTCATAGATCGAGACTCAACCACTGGGCCATGCAGGCCAGGCTCTATGTATTTCTTACACAGCTGCAAACACAATGTGTATAATTTATATAATTTTATATCCTTTTAAAAACTATTATATATTATAGTTTTCTCATACATTATAGAAACATAATTTTAAAAAACTACATTATATTCTATTATCCTAATAGTGGCTATTCTTGATTTACTGGTGACTATAACTAAAGTGATGAATAACTTTCTATAGAAGATTTCTCTCTATATTTAGAATAGTTTCCTTAAGATAGTTTCCCAAGATGAATATTACAGTGTTAAAAAATGTGTGTGTGCTAGTGTGTGTACAAAGGGTTTTTTGTTTTAATCTATTGCTATGCCAGAATCATTACATGTTCCTATTCTATTTGGAATAAGATAATTTATTATTCAGCAGTATCTTTTTCATAACTTAAGAAGTGATGACTAACTGCTGAAATATAACTGTAATCAATCAATTGAAGCTTATTAGAGCTTTCAAATTTGTAGGCGGATGCTGGCTTTGTGTCTGAGAAGTGCTGAAGGCACATATGTCCATCAGATGACAAACACTTCTTGACACAGATGTGGCAGCCGATCACTATATGTGAGCTTGGGTATTATTAAAGCTGCTACTTAATAAGGCAGAGAGAAGAAAATGTTCCAAAATTCAGGCAATAAAGAGTTAAATTAAGAATTTTCTTTGTTGCCCTTGTCGGTTTGGCTCAGTGGGCAGAATGTCGGCCTGGGAACCAAAGGGTCCTGGGTTTGATTCCGGTCAAGGGCACGTACCTTGGTTGAAGGCTCCTCTCTAGCCCAGGCCCTGGTTGGGGCACTTGCAGGAGGCAACCAATTGATGTGTATCTCTCACATGGATGTTTCTCTGTCTTTCCCTTTTTCTCCCACTCTCTCTAAAAGATCAATGGGAAAAATATCCTTGAGTGAGGATTAAAAAAGAAAAAGAAAAAAAATTCTCTTTGTGAAGTCACATCAGGCATATAACAGTGACCAAAATTCCCAAGTACCTCTGCACAGAATTCCTTAAAGCGGGCATACAAGATGCTTTTGATTAATTCTGCAATTTATGGTAAATATAAGAATATGACTCAAAAATCTTTATTGGTTAAATGTATTAAACAAATAATAAAAAAAGAGAATGTTATCAACTGTAATATTTCAAAACATAAAACAATCAAATCCCAAAGGGTTCAAAGGCATTAAACCCATTTTAGCTACTCTCAAATAGGATATTTTTAATTTTTTTATTAGGTGTCACAGGACTATATATCTGGGATATGGAAACTATATTAAAGAGATCTAAAAATCTGC